CTGATACTAGGTATTTTCACTTTCACGTGCTAAAGCAGTACTGTTGCTTTAAGGGAACAGTACATTTAAAATTATTAATATCTAGCAACTTATCGATCAAGACAAATGAAACTATCTCTGGAAGCTGGCAGATTTTGCAAAACATTAGAAGCACAATCCAGACTGCCTTTTTTTCATGCTGACCTCATTTTATTCTCACGTAGTCCAAAAGCTTCCAAACTACAAGTACTGCTGTCATTCATTTACAAGCTTAATAGCAGTATTGAGAAAATACCTTGGGATCAAAGGTAAGATTTTGCATGCTCTATATAATGTTGCCGGAATAAAAGCCCCAAGACTGACTAGCACAATGCAAGCTAAAATGGGGCCAAATTTTACCACAAAAATGAGTATTACTGCATATAATAGCATCCCTCTAAGTTTAATTTGTTCAGGAAATAAGAGACATACTTTCACAGCAGTTTGCCGGTCTTAGTTTGAGATGTTTTGACTCCCATATACTAGAATTTTCATATTCAAATATGAAAATATTCAAGAATACTCTCTTCTCTTCAAGAGAACAGTAAGGAGAAGCAAAATAAAGGAGGTAGTTTTAATGTATGAAATGAAACTGCTTTAATACCTTATAAGCACAATGGCAGCAAAAACCCGGGGCATCAAGAAGAGGCCAGAGATGTATCCCGTTTCTTGGTTTGACAAGAAAAACCCTGAGTTATGTTTATGCCTAGCTAATATTAAACATGGCAACATAGCTGAAGACTTCCAGTTTTTTAAAATTCAGAGAACATTTAAATTCCGTATTTCGCCTACTGCATCAGTTTTGCTCTGAGGTTGACATTAGCACACAAATACCCTGAAATTTCCACATTTCACAATACCAAGATCTTTAAAAATTCCTTTAGCAGACTGAAGTGAATAATTTTTCTCCATGCAACATTGAAGAGTAAAAGCAATAAGCAATATAATAGCAGCCCTGAGGCTCCTAAGCAATTCAAATGCTGGTAGGAGTTGAATTAGCAATGCTGTTAGCATTTGATATTCAAACTCACATCCTGCATGGTGTTGCACCCTATTTCACACAGGCTATTTTGTGCTCCCCTTGTGTCCCTCAGTGCTAACAGACAAGAAACCCCACAGACCGTAGGACAGAAACTGCCTTTTTTATATATTATATACTATATAGACAGAGATTTCACTCTAATGATGTGTGGCTAGAACAGGTCCCTGAAAACTACAGTTACTGTGCAAGGTAGCATTTGCCTTCCCTCACATTTCAATTCAACTGAAGGGCTGCTGGCCATAAAATCAAGAATAAATTTGTGCTAGCTATATTCAACACGAGCATTCACAATTTTTACACAAGTTCTGTGCTATTAAATTATGTGTATGAAAAGGGCTGCTATGTATTAAAGACTGGGTTTACGATGTTGTGAGAACGGTGCAAGAGTTGTGTCCATTTACATTTTTTGTTGTGTAGCAGCCCTTAATGGCATATGATTTGGTTCAGCCAACTGCCAGAGTGTATTAGTAAAAACAAGAGAACAATACGATTGATTCCAAGTAAGATGCTCAAAGGCAGCTTTAAGCAAATGCCACTGGAACTATTAACACAGCCATTGTGATTTTAACATTGCCCCTTGTCTTTAAGGATATATACATACAGTGGTCTAATCAATAGTAGTCTCCTAGTCTTTGGAACACGAAAAAATTAAAATTGTCAGAGAAGTAGAGTCACAGCGAAAAACTAGCACTTTAACACAGGAAGTAGAACAACTCTTCAGTGGTATTGTAACATCACAGTGGTAACTACTATTTAGCTATGCATACATTCTTAGATTCCCTTTAAAGAACTGGAAGCATCAGGACCCAATACGTAACAGATTTCTGTGCTTTCACTCATATTTGTAAAGGCGCAAGCCACCACATTTATAGCAGAAATCTGTGTTCAAACAATGGTAAAGTTGTTCATTGTGACTGCAGCGCAGGGCTCTCTCCAGCCCTGGATTTATATAATATTTGTAATCTGATGAGATTCCTAGCAGAAAAAAAACTTAGGACTGCTATACCCTCAAGACAGACTAGCGATCTGTGAATACTGCTATAGTAAGGATTCTTTTATTTCTTAGACTCTTGCTCTGCATGACATCTCCTTACCTGAGCTCTATGTTAAGGTTTCTCAGAAAACATACATGTGGAGAATAAAAATATACTATCACTGGTTTGGATAACCAAATCTAAGTGCAACGCTACCTGAAATGTTTACAGTGCTGAGTAAAACAAAGCTAACTTAGATGGAGATACAACCAAGGTTTTAATTTATATACTAAGAACAAATGAGCAAAGCTATTACGATCCAGTTCACAGGAACTCACGGTAACTATTTTAAAATTGCTAGATGCTAAAATGTATAGTCTTTAGAAGGAAGCCATATTCTCAATTGCAAAACTTAATCTAATTGTTTGGGTTGTTGTTTGTGTGGTTTGGAGGGGTTTCTTTTAGCCATTTGCATTAACATTTTAGCAACTAACTATATTATTTTGCCATGACAAAAATTGCTTAGCCATATATACAACCATAAGATGGAAGATGACTGCCACAGGCAGAGTTTCCAATCAGTAATGGAAGTATTCTGCACAGCACCCACACTCAGCAGACAAGGGTGCACTGTTAACTACACATGGGGAAAGATGCTCAGGTGCAAGCGTACCTTTGTGCTCTGCAGGCTCAGCATCCATGTCTCTAGCACCTAATTTTTCAAATGAACATCTGCTCTTGCCTCATACTAATTAAAACAGAAGAATCACTGGCCAGATTTCAGTCTCACTTGGCAATGTCATCATTGGGATATACTGTATGTTTCTTTCCTACCTTTGCTTCCTGCTTAAATGTGAGATGTGTAGCAACATTACCATTGTGTGTAGACATGCTGAAGAGTCTGATGTTGAATAACTGAACAGCATCCTTCCCTTTATATCTCTGGACACTACAGTATCCAGTTCAGAAGGCTACAAAATCACCATACATACACCTAAAACTGAATAAGACCAGCAAGGAAGTCATGTTTTCATCGTCTCAGAGATGAGGCCCACTAGATCCATCCACTTCAAGGACATTAAGATAACTTGCTGGGAAGATGCTAACAGGAATTGTATCCTTCACCAAAGGTGCTGACTGGCAAATGACATGCTATCACAAGATCAAACTAGAATTTAAACCACTCTATTTAAAACATATTTGAGATTTGCACTTCTGTATCAACATAAGAAAAATGTAGGAAGCAGACTGCAATACACTGTTCAAATATCTTTTTAAAGAAACCAAATTAAAAGCCAAACCAACTACTCATGGATTTTAATGGCAAGAGAGGTCAAAGCTGTTAATAGTATATCCTTTCATGAGCAAAATGCATATTTAGGTTAGCTACCTCATTTTATTCAATTAAAATGGACGATGCAAAAACATTTCTGGAAAGGAGCCAATAGACAAATGGATGCTGTACTGCATATTAGCACTTTCAGCAAACTTGCAGGGCTATTGAGAAGTAAAGCTAGACTTAGAACAGGTGCATCATAAATGCAATTATGTAATATAAGATTTCTAAAATGTAACCATTAGACAAACTTTCAGGGTTTTTTCTTAAAATGCCAATTAATTTGTAAAACATATGCTATTTTAATTTTTATTTAATTTTTAAATAAGCCCCATATGCCAGTAACTTTTCCCTGAAAAGCAAGCGAAGTTCTGGCTAAATACAAAAGTAGTAGCAGGCCAATAGAGGTGCAGAATTTCCTAAAGGACCAAAGAAGCTGAAAACAGGAAAATTTTGTGTATCTTGGTTTGGGGTACCGTTGCACAATTTCTTGAAAGTGAAATGAAAAAAGTGTATCCTATCACTTTCAAACTAGACAAAGGAACAAATCCTAAAAATTTAATAAGTTAAGAGATTTCTTCTCCATTTGTACACTAACAGAATTGTGGCCCCTTCCACCCACACAAGCTTTCTAATTGAAGATAATAAATCAAATATAGGCAGTTAAGAGAAGAGGAAAATGGGAAAGACACAGTAACAATTGTGGTGGGACTGTGCATCTCATGGTGCACAATTGATAATTTCAAGGTATTTCAAGTGCAATACCATTCACTGTAATAACTACTTGACTGAGGGCTTTGTAGCTATCTCAGAATAAAAAATATTACAAAGGATTTACTAGAATAGGAATGGTACTTCCACAAAACAGTTCACAAACTGTACAGGAAATGATGTGTACAAGCACATATTTTTTAATCAGTTCTTCATTTTTCCACAGTTTCTAAACAAATTTAACCACAACTGATAGAAACACCAGCTATTACTTACACTAATATTAAGAACTACCTAATAATCAGGTTTAGAGGTACAATAAATCATACTTCAACATACTATTTAAAATTCAACTTTGTAGGAAATGGGAAGAATGTAAGCCATTTTAGAAATTGTAACTGAAGTAATCCAAAATTACTTTTCATTAGACCAGTAGAGACAGGACATGAAAAGACAGTGTAAATGCTATGAAAATAGTCAATATTAGTCTTGTAATCTTTTATTTTCAGTGTACTAAGGCCTTCTTACAGAAAACAAGAGGAAGTGTGTTTGCCTCCTCTTGTACTACATTTCTCGACAGTAGATGTATTAGCTTGTTAACAGATTTCCTGATTACTAATTTTTTACAATTATAAACTATAGTTTAGAAAAACCCTGCACTGTTGCGTCACAGGTTTGACTGAGAAAGTGGCAGTCATTTAGATGTTTAAAACGTCTTTCAGAATTGGGTGTCAGTTTTTGTCTTTTAGAGGAAGAACTTTTATATAAAATCCATCCAAAGCAAGGTAAAAATTGGCAGTATGCTACAATATGTATCTTGTATTTCTAATTCTTTATTCCTAGTGATGAACACTTTTGTTTAATGTATGGTAACTTTGATGTTCACATTAACAAAATAGCAATCAAAACAGGAACTTACCCCCTCATTGTCTCTGTGTGGATTCAGCCTAGTATACACATTTTCAATAATATTACGCCTAAAAAGAGAAGGTTTAAAAATAATTAAGCAAAATGAAGAATTTCAAAACATTGAGAAAAGTTTGATTGGAGTAGGCATTTTTTTTCTAATCTGCCTTTTAAAAAGAAGAAACCCACTCTGTGTCTTTACTCACTTTCAGTAAGAAATTCAGGATCTAGCAACCATCAAGATTTGCAAAGACTTGCAAAATAAAACCATTTTCTTACCTTACCTCTCCATGGTCCACCTCTTTTTAGAGCTGCATAGTCAGATTTTGTAAAGAATAACATTTAAATCTGTATTTTGCTGGTTATAAAAAATTCTTCAATTTTGCTGGTGTTCTTGCCTTATTTCTGGATGTGGAACTTGAAGACAGTTAAGTTTTTATCTGTCTTTATTACATATACACAGGTTACAACTTGCCTACAAAATTTTCAAATGCAGTATGCAGAATGGACAACCTCTGAGAGGTGTTTTCTATTGTCTAGTCACGCTGTAGAAATTAAAACACAAAAGCCAGTAGCCAGACTCTTTTTGTAGCAGTGCCATTTAACGACAGACTTCCACAGGCAGTCAAAATAAGCACAAAAAACTTCACAAAAAATAAAACCCACCATATACACAGACTTCTGATGCAAAAAAGGTTATGTACTCACATCTTCAAATCAAAGTTAAAACAGGGAAACATTCAGACAGCTACAATAAATATGATCGAAGTTATTGACAGCTTCAACAAAAAAGAACAGCTAAGCGGACTAAGACTCTTAAGTCTGGAAGTGACCAAGATCTCTAAAAATTGTCTTAGAGAATGAGGGGCACCAATTGTTGACTCTTCTAAAGAGCACAAAGGCATCAAATGTCAAATCAGCAGCAAATGTCTCAAATACGGCTCTCAATGCAACAAATGCCCCAGAATACGGAGGATGCTACAAGTTTGCTGAGGCTTCTTCTAAACATATTTAAGAAACCTGGAAAACCTGCATATCTGAGGTAGTACAGGATCCATTGGAATTGATGGAAGATTTTTGTAGAGAAAATAAACTAAATCTTTTCGTCAATGATAGTGCAAAGGGTTCTCTCTATTTCCACATTTCGATGACAGAGGAATGGCACAATTCTGACTAAATGTATTACATAAAACAAAGGCACCTCCAATGTAACAGAAAACACCTGGTCAGTCCAATCAAGACTGCCACAGAACCAGCAGGAGGCAGCCACTGCAATGGGTTTAAACAGACATGAAAGTCTGCTCCTTGGTAATTATCCAGTTTTTTTAATTCACTTTTCTTTCTTTCACCAGCGTGAAAAGCATTTTTCTGTGCTTTTCTTTGATGGGAAAATTCAGGAGCAAGATACTGAGTGGAACTAAGGCCCAGGTGTCAGAGTAGCTCAGGACTTTTGTTCACTTCAGCAACAAACCTTCATTTTTGAGGCAGCATTTGAAATCACAAGGGGATTGGAGTCAAGCCAGAAAAGTCTTTGGAGAGTAGGATTTTTTAAGATATAACAGCGCCATCAGCTGACCACAGCAGAGTTGACACCTGTACATCTGTCTCAAAGAGTGGGCCAGCAGGGGCTTCTACATAAGTGGGAAGCTTGAAGGAAGGAATTATACAGTGCCAATATAAATGGAGCACTGTAAGGGGGTAAGCACTTAAGGGGGTCCTAAGGTTTGCAAACATACTCTAGTCATAATAACAGTGTATTGCATTTCCCCAGCTCAGACGTACTAAAAATTGGGAGCTACTTTAACTGGTGCTAAAACCATGGATGACAGCCAAAGATAAGATCTTTTTGCAACCAGATTTGAGCCAGGTCATGTAGTTCAGACATAAGGACAAAGTGTAACTTCTTCATGAGCCGGTAACATCCCAGGATAATGAACTCAAGAAAAAGAATATTCTCTTTTTAGGACAGAAGTTTTAAATTACACAGTACATGGATCTGGGTTGTGTAGTAGCATTTTTTCTAGGACTTCCATTAATTTCCTGCAAATAAAACAAACTTACATACATCACTGCCTTTGTCCCAAGTTTGGAGGCCAAGAAAAAGTCTCTTAATACTGTATAATATTCTCTTGAAAGAAACTGCAGGTACATTCCTGAAGACAGGGGACTTTAAGAGTCAAGATAAAGAGAAAGGTACCAAAATGCAAATTCTGAACCAAGTCCATGAAAAATGTAACCTGGATCGCAACAAATTAAATTTATATGTCAAGGGTCCAGAATACTGCAGCAGTACATGATGTAGTTATTAATAAGTAAAACAACAGAACACAACAGTTGGGAGGCACCAAGAAGAACAGGCACACCAAAATTTCTCTGAATGCCTGGAATACACACAAATGGAGAAACAAGCCCAGAATGTACAGATATTTCAAGGCTAGAATGATATAATCATGGCAAACAGTGCTCATTAACAAGTACATGCAATGAAAATAGATGTACACACACACACAGATGCTCAGAGAACAGGACTTTGTATTTTGTAAAATATGAATATTCCAGAAACAACATGCTCTATGCCAGGGAACAATAATGAGTCCTATGGTCTGGGGAATTCCAGATTAACAATTGTTTATGCAATCCTAAATTCTTTTCATTAAAATCCTTAAGTTATAGGTTGTTAGAACATCACCATTGGGGACCCCAGAAAACCAATATATTCCTGGTAAGTTTTAAGATGCATAATCTAGTTCAATATTCTCGGTTATCTACCATTCAGTTTCAGACTAAACAAATAAAAACAATTTCTTATGAGAATGTTTGCTGAGCAAATAAGTACTGTTCCAAATTCATAACGGACATAAAGTGGTTAGGAAAACATGACATGAGGAAAACTGATCTCCTGGTATTTTGATATTCACATTGTTTGATAACTTTTAACAAATGTAAAGCAGTAAAAAGCCAAGAATCCATTTTTATTTTTCTAAATGGCCATATGGAAATAATAAATTAGTATGTTATGCACCAGAATATGGTTATGTGTTTCCTCTTTACCATTCTGGAATGGGAACCATGACACAAATGTTTATATATTGCAAAAGGTTAACTTGCATCAAATATGAAAACTTGATTTGAGTATAGCTGTTACAATAAGAAAACTTTAAAACATTTAAAACAATTCAAGAAATTCCAGTACTGTACTCACTTGCCAGCTAAACCACCTCCTGGTGGTAAATTAGGGATATTCTCTGCAGTTAAAATACGAATAACATGAGCAAGATCAGGCATTCCTTCTTCACCCGATTTTTCCATAATTTCTAATTTAAAAACACAAGAAATCCTGAATTAATACCACCTATTGGCTAAGACACTGAAATATAAGATATTCAGAGGCATTATGAAAATGTTACTTGCATACAGGAAAACATCCTTTACTTTTTAGGTTAACATATCATGTTTGCATGGTGGAACAGAGCTTAAATTCATAGTCTGTCTTTCCAGTATGCATCAAACCTTACTCTCTAAGAGCAACTGAGAAGCAGACTGAACTGAATGAAATACTGTGGAGACAGCAGCCTGTTCTCTCTGAAAAAGACAGCAGCTGAGAGACTGTTTCAGTTAGCTTCTCCTAGCAGTGCAACACATTACATGCCATAAAGCCAATGCTTCCCCAGGATTCTGTCATTTTCATTTTAATACCTTGTATCCTCAAAGGCCCAAATCTCCAGTGCATAAACACTCTGACCACCAAGCAACAAGAGGATATACAATGTATAGATAATATTAGCACTCAAGTGGCTAAAACAGAATATGGAACTGATGAGGAATAATTGAAAGTACTTATTTTAATAATAATTAAAAATTATATTCCATTTTCAAAGCTGACACACAACACAAGTCAAGTCCAGTGCCAATAAGTTCTTCCAGCCTGGAAAAGAACTGCCTGAACTGAAGTAAATCTTCACATACTCTCTTTCATCAGGGTTGCTGTTAAGATGAATGTGTAATATCTGTGTATACACTCACACAGGTCTAATGCTACCAGCTTCCAGTCATGAGCTTCTACTCATTCAACCACTACCACAGCAGTAAAAGGTTTGGAGTTGTAGGCACAGGTCTTCTATTTTTAAGAGTGGATATTTTTCCTGAAAATTAACTAAACTAAGGAATAGAGTCCTATTTCCTGTAGACATTGTTCTAGATAAAAATCTCTTCAAGAAGAATTAAAAATTAATCCTTTCAAGTATCATCCTAAAAATGTTTCAGTCATTCAGAATCATGGCTACTATCCAAAGATAAGAAACAAGTAATTTAATTTTCTTAAAATTGATTATATTCTGGATGACTGACCTGGATCCTGCAGTTTTTGAGTTTCTTAAGTTAGTAGAAAAGCACGCCACCTTACCTACCTCAAACTCTTCTTCCCAGGTTTCCTAGTATTTAAACCTTTCTTGATGTCTATCACTTATCTAGGAAGCAAGTGATATTCAGGCTTTTCTTAGGACTCTTACTTAAGACTGACTACCAAGATCAACAAAAGTGCTTGGCAAGGTACTCACCCACTTTGTATGAGGCAGATCTGTCAAAGCAATCACTTGTTTAAACCAGCACCATACAATCTTTGCAAATAAGATACGTGCACTACTACTAGATGTGATTAAAATTAAAGATTGTTCTATGAAACTTGATGTGTATTATCCATCCATCCATCCATCCATCCATCCATCCATCCATCCATCCATCCAGGATGAATCATGGCTCGCAAAGGAAATGATAGCTGAGTATCCCTGAATCTTAGGATTTTCATCATCCCTTTCACACATACACAAATTAGCCACAACTCCTCTTATAAATTACATCCTTTTGTACAGTTCTACTTAGTTAGAATTGTACTGCTATAATATAATTTTGCTGAGATACATTTGACAGGAAACCTTTCTTATGAATATATACCTTTTATACCAAGAGCATATCTGGTTCTGTACAAAGGAAAAATAGACAAATAGCAAGAATTAATAACTAGAAAAACTACAAACACAAGCAACTTAGAAATATTTATTGCAAGCGTAAGGGTTTTATATCTTCTTAAAAAGGAATGAAAACAATCACAGCTAAAGATTGCTGTGTGTTTCTTGGTACTAGAAACATATACATTTATACTGCATAATAACTTCTCAGGGAGTGCTGAACTGAACCATTAGCATCTTCTCTCCATTTCTAGAAGGTGGCAAATCACGAATTCTGGATGAACTAATCATTATCTTTTTCTTTTCCTGGTATTAGAGTGAGTAATTTTATCCAGAACTTGACCCCTCTCTCAAAAAAAAAACAAAAACAACACTTCCTAACAGAAAATCAAGAATAAAGCAAATGAGCAAGCATGACCCACTGTCATTACACATGTTAGCAGATACACACTGAGGATGTGCTTAACAGAGGCCACCACAGAGAGAAACCAAATGTTTTCAGAAACAGAGGCATTTACAAAGTTTTCACCTTAATCTCTGTGATGTTAAGAATAGCCCTACAGTTAGCTTTGCATTACTAATATAATTCAGACAATTAAAGAATAATTCCTGATATTATTATATACGTATAATCATGAAAGTCCACCACAAAGTCTATTAGTTTACCTCTACAACTCTTTTCACTAAAAGCCTAACACTTCACTCACAGATAGGCATTTTAAAAACTCAGGTAATACTTTACTTCAATTTTATACAATACAGGTGCCCAGCCAGACATTACAAGTTTTCCATGTTCCAGCTCCTTTCTTACCCAGCTATCAGATTTTGACAAACCAGTTTTATATACAGGATATATTCCATATATGTAAAATGCATCATCCAACTCAGGGGATTAACTGAGTATTTACCAGTTAGACTGATTAAGCCTACACAGATCATGTGCCCCTACTTATGATTTGTGGGCTTAGTGGTTCTTTGGGTTTTTGTGGAGTTCTGCAGTTTGTCTGTTATTAACTGCAATTCTGATACATCCTTCCAAATAAACTGAAACATATCAGAGAACTGAACTGACTTCTGTGCCTAGTTTTCTCTTTGTGGGACCAAACTTTGGATCTCTAAAAAACAGAGAGCAGAAAGTAGTATTTGCAAGGGGCAGTAAAGAAAGAGTGACCTAGCATAACTTCACTACTGCACAAAACACCTGTGGAAGGTGCCCTGTCCATGGCAGTGGCACTTTAACTAGATGATCTTTAAGATCCCTTCCAACACAAACCAGTCTAACTCTGTGATTGTGCTTTGGAGACGGACCAATTAAATTACTCAAACCAGAAGCAGGGCTGTGCCACAAAAGACTCAGGCACAAGCTTAACCTCATTAAGCATTTCTGTATATTCTACAAGTGGCAGCTTTGGAATGCACTTATCTACGTTCTGTCAACATCAAAACCCAAACTAGCAACAGAGCATTGGTATATATTTCTTCCACTGGAAATCTCTGTAAACAATGACTTGCTGAGTTTGCTTTTTAATCTATCTGATAGAATAAAAAAATATCTCTTGGTATCAAGACAATAATTCTCTTTTGAGAACTCTGGAAAGATCTTAGGGAAATACTAACTCAACTCATTATACAAATATACAAAATCTCAGCATTCCACTTACAAATGTACAAAGAGAGTACAAATGTTACATGTGCAATTATTAAACTGCTTTTTAGCTTTTTATTTTTTACTTTTTTAAATCTAACAAAAGCATGCCTTAAATACTGCTTTTCTGCCTGAGACAGCTTAAAATGCTCTAGTAGTGAAAAAACCCTGTTGCCTGAAAGGTTTCAATATTTCAATAGGTTGAAATTTAAGGTCCACAAGAAAACAGAAAGAGCAAAGTATGTATCCATTAAGAACAAACACCAGTGATGAAACTAAGATTGCTTCAGCAAGCCCCAAAGGATTTCATACTAAGTTCTAATGTTGCCCTGATTTGTATTAGTCACTTAGGGAAAGAGAAGGGTTTTCCAAGAGAACTCATAGTTTACATTTTTGACAACACCTATCTTTGCAGCTTGGTAGTTACATGAAAATCTTATTTTTTTCAGAATGTTTTTACTACAGGTATAAATATAACTGTTACTGGCCATCAGCCAACTGCATATAACTTGTGAGCTGTCAACTCATTAACAAAATTTTAAAATACTCTTCTTGTTAATTTGTGTTCAAACACCACTATTTGCTTTTTGAAAGGAATAGTAAAACTCTTGAGAAAGGTATTTTAAACAAATCCATATTATCAGTGTCAGAAAGATCCACCAAGATTTATGTTTTTAGAATCGAAGACAGTTTAAACCTTTCAGGTGCAACACTTTAACGCACTGCTTTCTATACTAACTTAAAAGATTAATACAAAACTGATTAAGGCAGTTGTCTTAACCAAAAAGAAACTCCACCTTCCAAAACTTTTACTAACTTCAACGCTTGAGATGACACTCTTGCCTCCATGGGGTTTTTTAAAGTCAAAAGTATTCCTGCTCACTACTTAAACCTTTAAATCGAACACTGTTTTTAAAAATTCCAACATATTTCTAAACAATTTTCCTCATGCTGCTTAGTGGTTTGAAACATTTTGCTAAGGCTTTTATCCTTTCTGAACTAATAATATTCAAAGCACATGTGCAAGGTAGACTGCTAAAGTCTCTTAAGCTTAAGTTTCACAACTTTTTTTTTTCCTTTTAATTAAGAAGACTGTGTCAAAATTACAATTTCACAGAATTTATGAATGCAAAAATTTGTTAAAATTCAGATAGATATTTCAAGTTCTTCTAAAGTCTGTTGCATTTACTTTCTCCATTCCTTGTCACAATTTCTCAAATATGCTGTCATTTCTTGCTAAATACTTGCCTTTTAAAGGCCTTGAACTCTGTCCAATTAGCAAAACACCGAATGAGACAGGGAACTCAAGCAGGGAAAAAAAAAATCAAGAGCTGAAGCAACAGAAGTTCAAGCTTTGGAGCAATTAATTTGTCTGAAGCACTTAAGCTAAACAATCATTTTGAGTTATATTTGCAACGACTCCGCATCAGTTTGGACTACGAACTCTGAACTATTTTTTTTGGTGTATGTATTATTTAGTTAAATGTGACAATAGAGCTAAAAATAATCAGTTAATAGTTTTGTTAATCCAAACACTCTGATCACAAGCTATTTCACAGCTTTTCTATTAATTTAAGCATTCACTTCTAAAAGCAATATCATCCACTGCAGTTCCATATATTTTTCACCTATTTGGTAACAGAGAGCAGCCACCAAGAAGTTGGAAATACTAACCTGTAACCCCTGTGCACACCTGACTGCTGCCAGTGAAGGCAACTGCTCCTGGCTCTCTCCCAGAGCCTATTAACAGCTCATGTACTCTACTCTGACACAGAAGATAACAGGTATTTGTCTTAACTAGTGTCATCTAGGAAGCCTGGGATGTAAGCCAAATTCCAAGAAACAGGCCTAGAGTTACCATTTGAAGTGACCATAAGCGCTCTCTAATCTCAACAGAAATTACAAATATACAGCCCATTTCAATTTAGATCCCATTTAAACAAGAGGAAAAGACACCACACACAACAGCTGTGTGCTCAGAGATAACTTGTACCTGAAGACCATCACAGATACATATTAAGATTAGGGTGGCTGCATCAACTCTCTAGATTATTGGGACATTGACACAAAAACCCAATACAGCTGCTTCTTTCTGTCAAAAACTTGCACAGAAGGGAAGAAATATTACAAATATCCCCTTTAATATTTCATAAGCTGGACATTAGCAAGATCACAATTCACTGAACTGATACAACACTCTGCAAGGTCAGTAGCTGTATTTTAACCTATGAAGACAACAGTAAAAACTTAAAGCTCACATTAAGAAAATGTTTGCAGAATACCAGGATAAACTAAGCACATAGCCTAAAACATTCTTCCTGACGTACAAAAGTTCAGAGTTATAACCATGCCTGAATTTAACCCAACATAACATGGCATAATGTCTTCCATGGCTTTTGCTTTCACGCCCAAGATAGTTACGACAACATTGTGCTCACTATCACAACCGAACTGTGATTTGTTCACTATCTAGTGAACTGAGTGGACTTCTTACCTTCAACCCGTGATTCCAAGTACTTATCCAACTCAGCATCTTTTTTCACTGCCTCCTCTGAGACCTTAGGAGCATTTGAAAAACAAACTAATACAATACTCATGTTATCACGACTCCCCTATGTGACAAAAAAGAAAGAGAAGTTAGTACCTTTAGTCTTATTCTTCATCTTTTTACTCTAATCAGATTTGTACTTTTTCCAAATATAGTACTGCAGATAGACTTGAAAAAAAAAAGAAACCCTGAAAAAATCCTATATTTTCATCAATAAGAACCCCTCTGTGTCCCAACTACACTGCTCACTAGGATTAATTTGACTGATTTTGACTGAATATTCTTAGTATTGAAGTCTAAATAATTAATGGACTTACACACATGTCAACCATTTAAAAATAGTATCAATAAAACAGGTCAGAAATTAGACAGTCATGTAATGTTACCTTAAGCCAAATTGTAAAACAACACCTGTTGCAAAATGAAATGCAGAATCCTCCTTTATACTATTAGAATAGCTTAGCTCAAGCAACTAATTTGTTTCAGTTGCAGGGCATTCATGTAAATCATTACCTGCGTTACAAGTCTGTTTATCCGAATGCACCTGTGTCACACAGCACACCTTGAAGCAAGTATAAAATATAAATGTTTTGTATGGCTAAGCAGATCTTACAGACTTATCATGTGCTCAGAAATATCACAATGGCTTTTTTAGATACTAATTTTAATGCCAGTTCTTTACTAACATACTCTGATACCATTTTCCTGCTGATATTTAATTTAAAAAAATATAATTCACATTCAAATTTAAAAACACAATTCTAAGTCTCTTACAAGGGGATCCAGCAGTATCATAATTTAAACTACCAGTTTGAAAATCAAATCCTCACTTTTTTTTTCATGTAGAATACTAAATGCCATTAGTCACTGCATACTGTTGCTGTGTAAACCCAAGCTACTGGAAAGCTCTAATCAGCTATCACAACAAATCCTTCTCCTAGAGCAATTAAGAATTTGACATTAGAATGGATTCCTTCAGAAATACTGCTTATGAGTTAACCTATGTTCCCTCTTGCACCAAGCATATGAGGACACCTATCACTTAGTATTATGTGGTACAATCCACAGCCTGAAGACATAATACAACATTCTAACATTGTTACAGAGATTCAGGATCTGACTTTGGAAAATAAACATGTGGTCAGTGCTCAGTTTTACTGGAAGTATCCAAGAGTGACCATTCTTTAACAAGGCTGGTTGAGGCCTGGTTCAGAAAAGCAATTTAAACCAATCATACACTGTATATGCTGGAATACAACCCTATTTCTGGAAAAAAACACACAACTTACCCTTTAGAGTTCCAGCTGTGAATTTTAGTATTTTCCTCAAAATTGCATGTTTAGTCTGTGGCCTAACAAAGGAACTCTGTTTGTACTAGCAGGAGCTGCACTTTTCAGGGAATGCTGGAAATGGAATACCTATTTAACATAGGCAGACCAGCCAGTAGTTGCTCCAAACAAGCTAAATTTGAGGAGTGGAACCAAGCTCAGATGCAAAGGTGGTGGGTGTTACTCCATCTAAGCTACAGTAAGCTGAGGGCACAGGTGACAGATGAACAACACCTTGAAGAGATGCTGCCAACACTGGTTTTCCGCAAAGGATACAAACACTATTCAACTTCAAAGAACAAAAAAACCCACAAAGTACCTTCCTCAGAATAGATTAATTTTATAAATTTTGTATTTAGAATCAAAGTTTAGAGCTGGAACTATATGCAAGCATTACTTGGGAAAAAAAAAGCCAGCCTTTATTTTTGCAATTGCTATCAACTTTCCAAGCATATGGGCTGAGGCTTTATATTCTTCAGCAAGGATATACAGTCAAATGGGTACAGAACTTTGAAGAAAAGAAGTTGGAGAAGGGGAACAGTAGGCCAGGAACAGCTGTTAAGACTGTACCCATCTAACCAGAAGATACTTTTAGAACAGCTGTTTGGAGAAAACAGGTACATACCTTATGTAAACAAGTGTCCACTACCCAATTGCACACTGTTTCCAGGTCATTTGATACTTCAAGTCTAGACTTTACAAATTCACAGAGCTCTTCATTGCTCATTACATCCCAGATTCCATCACAAGCCAGGATGATAAACTCATCTTCTTCTGCCCTTAAAATTTCACACACCTCAGGCTCTGGAGAAACAAGTTGTTCTGTAGGGCCTTTACCATCAACACATTTGTAGTCGTAGTCCCCCAGAGCTCGAGAAACTGCCAATGAACCATTAACACGCTGAATCATTACACTGCCTCCTGCATTCTGGATTCGCTCTTTCTCCCTTGGGTTGCAAGGTTTGTGATCCTGTGTTGAAAAACAGACTTGTCCATTCCTATAGAGAACAGCACGTGAATCACCACAGTTGATAAAGTATACATGCTCAGGTGAAATCATAACTCCTACTGCTGTTGAGCCACTTCTGTCCATGCCATTTCTGAGGTCTGCGAAATTGCGCATATACTCATCAATTTTCAAAAAGCCAGTTCTGATTCCACTCTTGACATTTTCCACTGAAGGTTCAAGAGCAGATCCAGGTTTTTCTGTCGCCCTAAAGTCTTCATTGTTAGTGATGTGTTCTAATAAATGAGTGGAGCAGTAATTTGCAACACGAGATCCTGCGTGACCATCATAGACAGCAAAAAAGGACCAGTCCTCTAAGCCATGGGGAATACCTACAACAGCTGTGTGAGCATCTTCCATTTCCACTCTCCATCCCTGCATACTGCTGAGGCCATAACGCAAGCCATTCCCTGCACCATGAGCATTATGTTTTTCAGTTTTTGGTTTATCCAAAAATGCACCCATGTTTATGCAATATTGAATCTGGAAAACAGAGAGAAGAAGTCTTATTTATAAAGCCACTCCATTCCACATAATCTTTGTTGTCCACTTCCTGTGTTTCTCCTTTATAGAACAAGTGATATAGCATGCACACATGCAAAAGTCAACAACTATATTGGAGGGAAAAAAATTAATACATGACATGAATGAAGTGTGAATTTACAAACCTCTGTTTGTATTTTTTAGCTTTTTTTTTTTGCTGGGGTACTGCCTTTTTTGAAGAGCTACTTAATAAAAATTAAACCATCTCCATATGAAGGCAGAGTAGTTCACATACCTTTGCAGCCCCGCTGATTTTGCCATCCTCTGCAGACTAATTTATGACAGAAAAACAACTATATCACTCATACTTTCTTTCCAGTTTTACTGTGGCATGAAAAAAATCAATTCACGTCCATAAATAAGGACTAGTCACGCTAGCTTTGCATGTACCAAACTACTTCTTATTCTTGTAAGGCACCACAAAAGTGACCACAGGGGAACACAGACCATCTGCCAAAGGAACCAAGGCAGTAATTTCCACTTAAATACAAGAAAACCTCTCAAAGCAATCTTTTAACAAATTATACTTAGTCCTTCATAAAAAAAAAATTTTAATATTTATTACAGAATCATAGAATGGTTTGGACTGGAAAAAACCTTAAAGATCATCTTCCAACCCTCCTCGCCATGGGCAAGGACACCATCCACTACACCGGACTGCACAAAGCTCCATCCATCCTGGCCTTGAACATTTCCAGGGATGGGGCATGCACAGCTTCTCTGGGCAACATCTTCCAATGTCTCACCCTCAGAGTAAAGAATTTCTTTCTTATTTCAATTCCAAACCTACCCTCTTACAGTTTGAAGGCATTTCCCTGTCCTATTACTACACTTGGCCAATAGTCCCTCTCCAGCCTTCTTGTATGCTAACTTCGGGTACTTAAAGGCCTCTGTAAGATCTCCCCAGGCTGAACAACCTCAACTCGCAGCCATCCCTCAGACTTCCATGTGCTTACATGGGATTTTAAATTCAAAGGTCCTGATGTTAAAATTTATTCAATTTTCAATATTAAATTCAACAAGAGCTATGATCTAAGGGAAGTAAACAATCCACAGAAAGTTAAAAGTTCTTCAGTATTTGAAGATCATCTTCAGAATGCAAGCTCCCAGGAAAAATGTGAATAATCTACATTGAAACTTTAGAAGGCTTCTGATTTCCTCTCCTGTACTAGACTCAAGGGTTCTACACAGACCTGAAAAACTACCTTGCCATTTACAAAGTCAGTAGAGAATACATTCTTTAATCCACAGATCTCAGAAACTCAGATACCACAGCTTCAGACCATACTGAAAGTCATCACCTTATGAAATCCTTAGACATGAAAATTTCATCCAAAAAGAATTGGCAAGAATTCTGCCATGACTGATCCTGAGCAGTCACTTGTCTCTGACAGAGTAGTACCCACCTACAGAGTTTACAGAATCCTGACAATCTATTTCAAGAATGTGTTGCCAGCCAGGATGAGATCAATTAATCCTTACTTCTGCCATTTCCCTCACCTAAATGCATATGAAGTATAATACAGAGGACTAGATACAACCAGACTTCATACTACCTCTCTGATCTCCATGCAGTGCTGAAGATCCCCACCACTACAGAGCCCACAACAGCTTGCTCAGCAGTTTTTTGTAACACTGTGAATAGGCAGAAATGACACAAAAAGTGTATCCATCACTGAGATATGTAGTCAAAACTTTGCATAACCCCTTCTCTCAAAACATCTGATTTTGCTTTCAAAACAAACAAAATTCATCTGTGTCAGAGAGTAAGCAAGGCAGTGCAACATAACACCACAAAAGAGTTCTCAGCAACCAATGTTCTCAGTTAAGAGCTGAACAAGTTCCACATAGTTTAATAGTGCAACTAATGTCAGTAAAGGAGACTTGTGAAAGGATTCTAATATCTCACAATCAGCTATTCACAAACTGCACACAACATAAAACTATTTTAAAAGCACAAGAAACATTCTTACCAGTAAAACTTTCATACAGGACTGAAATGTTGCCAAAATGAGATACCCTCCAATACTTCATACCTTCTATGAAGTTCCTTTAATTGTGTTAAGTATGTCCTTACATTCTTATAACCAAAAATGTGGAAGAAATCATGTGACTAAATTAGGAAAAAGATGAAAAACTATGTAAGTGCAAAGGCCTGTGAGCTCACTATTGTGTTTTATATCCACAAAATAAAACACGCTTTAAGAAAACCAACCCCCAAAGGCATGTGTCACACCTTAGTTTTACTTGTTTCATAAATAGTTTCACTTTTTTACAACTCATAACAAACTGGAAAAAAGAAAACTGCACTATTCAAGATGATGCTCTTAATATTCTAAATATCCCATTTAATACTGCAAATAAAGATTTGCAGAGATTGACTTGCTAGCAGTAAGTCTGGAAATCAACTTGTGTTCTTTGCCTCTTAGGCCTTCATCACATATCTCCTAAAAGAACACAGCTCTACCTTCTCTATCCCTCCCATGACAGTGCTGGAAGACAGCTTGGCCTTTTCTCCTCCACACTGAAGAAACTCTAATCTCCCCTCTCCTCACACATCACAGGCTCTGGCCCCTCAATAACAGAGTGCTTCTCTGCTCAGCTTGCTCCTCCATGTCTGCACCTTTCTTGTACTGGGAGGTGAGCAGTCCACACTGTATTCCTGATGCAGCCTCACGAGATCCAAATAGAGGAAAACCATCATTTCTCCCAAAACACTGGATATACCTTTTCTAATAGGCGCTAAACTTTTCTCCCTTCAGACACACTGCTCTCTAATGTTCAACTCATTTGTCCTGGTTCTCCACCAGGACCCACCCCATGGTTCTCTTTGACAAATCTCATTCCTCAGCAGTCGTCAGTGGGGCTGTACATAGGGACAAGGTTACTTTATTCCAGGTAGATGACATGATTATACCTCCTGCGCTTACCATCAGACCACTGGTCCAGCCTACCAAGATTTATCTACTGTTAGGGCCTACCCTTGAGCTAACTGACCACGCACTTGTATCACGTATTTTAAGCATGAATACCCTTCCACTGTTCAAGCTTTTAACAAAGACTTTGTCGTACTTCCTCTTAGTCAAAAAATCTCAACATTTCTTGAGGGAGTTAAGGCATTAGGCCCCAAATATTTTTGTAGAGCAAGATTTAGTCTCAAGATAAAACACACCAGAACACATGAAGCACCCACCTGCAAATCAGTAATTCAGTCATAGCTTTAATCAGCATAAACTCAAAAATTCAGTATCCTTTAGGGTTAAGATTTATTTTCCAAAGATCCCATTTTTGTATGAAATTTAATTGAATAACAGATTGGTTTGAGAAAACATATTCATTTCCTTGTGGTGAAAATGTTTGTCCCACATAAAACTTTTAGTTGAAACTTTCAAAATCAGGAAGACCATGTCTACTGTAATTCCCAAAATTCTCTTGGAAATAGAGAAGGCCTTAGTTCCTGTCCATGCTCCACAGACCATTCTTTAAAATACCATATATTACTCAGATCAAAAATGAAACCCTAGGATTCTCTTCTCCTTGTAGTCTTTCCAACCCTGGAAAAGGTTGGGGGAAAAAAAAAAAATAATGATAATCAAAATTTTTAAAATCTATTGCTTGGCAGGACCAATAATTACCAAGGCTCAAAGGCTTTTTATCCTTTACAGAGGATAAATTATTTATAGGAAGAAATTACTGGCCTTTGCCCCTCTCTGGCAATGAAGAAGTTGAATCTGAGCAATATGCTACCAAAGCAGAGGCTCCAACTACCTCTCTAGCCTAGTGCTCACTGTTCATCTCTAGTCTAACATAGCTGTCCTTTCCAACAGAGTTCAGGGCAACAAGTCTCTAACGAAAGCTGATATCCCAGTGTAAAAATCTAACCCAAGGCTTACTTCTCTGAAGTTCCAACCTGTATTTTTCTCTAATACTTTCTACCAGAGTAAAATCCTGTGTACAGTCCTTATCTCTTATACAGGCAACACAGGCAACCATTCACGCTGAGGAAACCAAAGGCATCTAGCCTTTTGACAAACAGAAGAATGACAGCAAAAGTCATGTCCTCTGACATGCAAGAAAAATTCGTGATCAACATCCTTTCTGCTCCAGCTACACAGTGAAGATTCTTTGGTATTAGATCAGCCACACAGTAAAGAGCCTTAAAATCAGTTGTGCTGATTTCAGTTTAAAAGACAAACACCGACTGCTGATTTTCTCCAAAGATCTACTTAAAAATTGACAAATAGTTATTGCTTAGGTATAGATAATCATTCTTTTCTACTATATCATAAAGGCGAAATAGGCGGCTACTTTAAGTGAAAAGCAGGCTCCTTTCAATTTAGATTTATATTTAACAGGCAGAAATATTTACTTGATTACTGTCATAAAGGCCAGATCTGTCATGACTTGAGCTGGGACAAAGTTAATTGTCTCCCTAGTAGCTGGTTAAGAGTTGTGCTTTGGATACAATATAAGAATAATGTTGATAACACACTGAGGTTTTTAGCTATTGCTAAGTACTGCTAGCTATATTAAGTCAAGGACTTGACAGCTGTCATACTTTGTCAGGAAAAAGGTGGGAGGGGCACAAGAAGTTATGAGGGACACAGCCAGGAGAGCTGACCCAAACTAGGCAAAGGGATATTCCATACTGTATGAATATATATTGTGCTCAATATATAAACTGGGAGGAAAGCTGGCCAAGGCTACTGCTTGGGAATGACAGGGCATTGGTCAAGTGAGTGATGAGCAACTGCATTGTGCCTCACTTGTTTTTAATTCTTTTATTATAATTTTCTTCCTTTTCTGTCCCGTTAAACTGATGTTATCACATCAGTGGGATGTTATCACAACCCCCAAGTTTACTCACTTTTATTCTTCTGATTCTCACTTCCATCTGACTGGGTCAGGGTAGTGAGTGAGCAGCTGTGTGGTACACAGTT